CTCCTCCTCCTCCTCCTCCTCCTCCTCCTCTTCTTCTTCTGTCTACTTAGACTGGCAGCAGCTCTGCAAAGTCTTAGCTTAGGCATAGGTCTTTCACATCACCTACTACCTGATCCGTTTAACTGGAGATGCCAGGAATTGAAACTGGGACTCTCTGTATGTCAAACAGATGCTCTACCATTGAGCCACTACCCTTCCACAAAGGCCAGTGTTGAGAAAGAAGGTAACTGGCCCAAGGTAATTCAGGGAGCTTCATGAACTCACAGGATGCTCTCCCCACTGTAAGTCAATATAGGAATCACCTCACTGCAGTGGCAGCTATTCTGACTGCTCCCCAGCTGTAGGTGGAAGTGAATAGCTTGAGGGTCCAGTCCTATCATCTACTGCACCATTCATGCACACGGACTAGGATTTAGACCAAATCTTAATACTGACAGACCGTCAGGCTTCAGCACTATTGCACCAGCGTTTGCTCACTGCCACAGAATAACAATGACCCAGTGACAGCCCTCAATGTTTTGCAGAGAGGTGGCAAGCTGGTTTAGTAATTTTAAAATAAAAATCAGGATTTGGAGACACACCAGAGGCTATTACAACTATTTGCCTGCCATACGTAAGACTGAGTACTGATAGAAGTGCTTGCCTTGAAGAAGAGGCAGAAATATAGCTTTACCGCCTTGGGTAGATGCAGGATATCACAGCTTAATAGAATTAGGGTTTTAGCTGACTTTTATAAACATCCCAAATATTTAAAATGTAAAGGTATATTTACAAGTGAAATTAATAACTGCAAGGTATTACCTACCTTTCCCAGACTCAGTTCTGTATTTAGAGTACAACACTTATACCATATGGATTTCAGAATGGAAGCAAAGGGAGAAACTGCAACCTGCTGCAATACATATGCTTATTTGATATTGAAAGACATCTGTTGCTGCCGCTCCAAAAGGCCCATCCACAGCTAGTCTGCAGTAACATAACATAGCACAACAGTATTTGTTGTCGTGACAGATCAGCCCAGCAGTGACATTTAAACTAATCTTACAAGTCTGCAATATGATCACCGTTTGAATGTGTTAAAATAACAGAATATAATAGGCTTGCGTTTTCTAAAACATTAGCTCTGTTTCCTTTGTTGTAAGAAAAAAGGACCTCATTGTATTTATCTATTTATAATTTTTAATGTAGAGCCATCAAGTCGCAACTGACTTATGGCAAAACCGTTCGTGGAGTTTTCCGGGAAAGAGATGAGCAGAGGCTGGTTGCCATTGCCTTCCTCTGCACAGCAGCCCTGGTCTTCCTCAGTGGTCTCTCCCTTCCAAATGCTAACCATGAGTGGCATTTTGATATTAAAGAGCCTATTTATCACAGTACAAGACATCAGGAAGACTATGTGAGGAAGGGACCTGGCCATTTATCTAAGCATGCCATTGCAATTTTAAGCATTTTCAAAATCTGATCGCTTGTTTAATTGCATGTCCACATTTAGTGGGAGTATTTGCATATTTAATTATGACTTACTGAAAAGCATCCTAGTTTTAAAGACTTGTTTTCTGTACTGTACAAATTACAGCACAGAGGAACTGATTCAATTTAGAAATGTTTCTAATCAGTTTGAGAACTTCTTGCTACATTGGGAAGCACTGAAAATATGAGGAAGGGGATGAAATGATACAGTAGCATTTAATCCATATATATATGCTCAGGAAGAATATATATATAGTTCAAATAAGATTTCAGGTTAAAAGAAATGTATCCCAGTCCAAAAACAAAGATTTGCTGGCCCAAACACCTTGATGTGAATATAGATGTCCAGCTAGTCATAAACAAGAGTCATAAATAAAAGTAATAAATAAACAAGTAAAATTGTACTGTCACATAAGGTGATGCCCATTCAAATCCCAATGACCTAGGTGGGTGCATCTTTTGTTGGACACAAGAATTCTCATAGTCATCTATGGTTGCTAGTTGTTGCACTTGACTAGTTGTGCATGACTAGCGCTAAACACCCTTTTTCAAATAATCTATATATTTTATATCCAAATGTGGCCCCCTCTGTGATATCTAAACCCATGGATTGGCTCACACTGGCAGAAAGGAGATTTTTCTCCAAACTTGGGGGACCCCCCAGGTTTACAGAAAAATCTCAAAACTTACATTATATTGGGGGGTTAACTGCAATGTTCCCTCTAAGCTGTGGAGTCTTGTGAGCAAAAGTCTACTTTGTGAGCTACTGTTGTGAGCAAGCAATTGGGCTACTGCATAAATTAGTTTGATCTGGAGCCATTCTTCCTGAGCTAAGACAAAAACGTGTGAGCCAGAGGCAAAAAAACTGTGAGCTAGCTCACACTAACTCAGCTTAGAGGGAACGTTGGTTAACTCCCCCCCCCCAAATAACATTGTCTGCAGTTGTGTAGACTACTAACTTGAGCAGCTGACACAGGGGTTCCCTGCCACTGATGATCTTGCCAGCTGTTGGAACCCCTGCCACTGATGCAGAGGCCCCAAAGGAGGTCAAGATAAAGGGGGGGAGAGAGATGGAGGAATATTGTCAGAGAACAGGAGGGGGAAAAAAGAGTGGGTGGATTGACAGAGAAGGGAGAGCAGAGAAATAGAGGAGGGAGAATGATGGAGAAGGAGTGGGAGGAGAAATAGATGGGGCGGGGTCATTTTGTAGAAAAAGAGCTAGGGGGACTCATTAGCATATGCCACACCCCCTGACATCACCGGAAGTGTGTCCATATTGTCAGAGAACAGGAGGGGGAAAAAGAGTGGGTGGATTGACAGAGAAATAGAGGAGGGAGAATGATGGAAAAGGAGTGGGAGGAGAAATAGATGGGGGATGATTGGGAAGAGGGAGATTGATGGTGAATGGGAGGGGAGAAAGAGAGGGGGAGATTGTCAAAGAAGGGGGGGTGAGAAAGAGGGGGTAGAAGGTTATTAGAGAAGGCAAGAGAGGAAAGGAAGCAAAGGCACAGGGATGAGCTGCACCCTCCCCGCAAGTTTCTTGCACATTCCCACTTGTGTCACCTATTCTTTCTTCAACAATATTTTGAAGACCTAATCCCTGAGTCACTGGATTAAAAGTGATTTAGTAACATAAATTCACAAGGCTATTAAAATACAGGATTTGAACTTAATACATTTTGCTCCTATCTGGGCAGCCAGGAGAAAAAAAGTATAAAATGTTTACTTAGCCCTACTATTTGCTGTAGGCTTTTGCCCTTTATTTTCTCTGGATTATAGCCCAGTTTGGTACTGTTTGTAGATTGGGAGGTATCTGAATAGTTATCACCACTTTTGTGTCGGGCTGCAAAACATGTCTGCTTTTTTGCATACTGAAAGCAGATGTACAAAAACGCACATTTGATGGTTCATGTGATGGCCTTCCCAGGAATTTAGGCCAAACTAGATGTGATGGTGTCCAACGCATGGACACTGCTGCCATTGTAAAGGGATTTAAAAATGCTGTGAGGGCCCAATCTTGATCAGACCTGCAATATGGTGGGCTGAGACTCTCTTATTCCCCTACTGCACCTTTTCGAGAACTGAAAAAGCCACACCCCACCCATGGATCTATGGACACAATCATGTCTAGTTTGGCCCTCAGTGTCAACATCCAGAATCTCCATACAAAAGGTGATTTTGCTGTTATCTGACTGGCACTATTTTATAACCCCTAGGAGAGATAAAAAGGTTTTATGGCCACGTTATAGGAAGAAATACATATACAAATTAGCAAAGAAGATGTTGCCTCAGCACAATAGACTACGTAGAAGTTCTGCAGTCCACCTCAGAAATATTTGTGTATGGGTTTTGTTGTGGGGGGTTTTGTGTGTATTTTAAACATGGCTTATCTAAAGATCTGCCTGTACAAAAATACATTTCTGATCTTTAACTAAAACTTTCCTAAACCAGTACAACATAAAATTAAGGATGTTTGCTCAGAAGCAGTAGTTTATCAGAAATACAGTTTATTATAAGCAAACTTTCCCCTAGTAAGAGTTAGTTTAATGTTCCCATTGGGAAAAAATGGGATTTAGAAGAGCTTATCTTTGACTGTATCATGTCCATAGGGGAAAAAAAATCAATATCATTTGATAATGTGACATGTTTTAAGTAGCTTTCCTGGAGTAAAACATTAAAGAGGATGTTTGATATTTTTTTTGCCTGTAAGATCTGATAATACTGTATTTTGCTATATCTATAATTATAATTTATGCTGTATTTTTATACGTAAAAGAGTTTCACAAATCTTCAGCTAATCAACACAAGAATGACAATTTGCAATAATATAATTAATTATCAAACCTTGGCAGCTTCCAGGGCTCCTGAAAGACTTTTTCCTGTGCTCCAAAGGCACTGAAAAGTGCTTCAGTCCAATCTCCAACTGACCTTATATGTACACTGAAAAAGTCCTCTTCAGGGGCTGAAGTGAGAGTGAAAGGGTGCCACTCCAACTGTGAGATAGAAGGGCACTGAAGAAAGACATACTGACCAGCTGCCATCTTAAAACCACATTTCTTCATATGAAGCTCCAGAACTCCGGATGAATGAGACACAACCTGAGCCAGATTTAAAATATATTGGTCCTGCTCATCAAAAAACAACACAAAGACAGACACAAAGGCAATACAAAGACAGACAGAAAGGATATTGTGAGATCATCCAATTAGTCTTTTCTGAGCCTTGGCCAAATTATATGCTGCTTATCTCCTTGGAGAACTCTGCAGATGTGGGAATCTTCTGTCCTGGGGCCTGAACAAATTTGGCTTAGGAAAGGTAGCACAGCATTGCATCACATTCACATTTTAGCTCATCTTGCTAGTAAATATACATCAAACTAGAATGGGAAAATTTGAGCTGCGTTCATTGATTTGCAAGCTGTCTTTGATTCTGTTTTCTGGAAACGATTATGGAAGAAATTGTCCTCAACCACAATTTCAACCAGGCTTCTCAATCTAATTGTGCAACTACATGCTTCATCTAACTTGAAGGTGCATTGCAATCCTCATGGTCATAACTTGTCTCTTACTTGTTACATTTATGGTCCAGTAGGGATGCAATCTAGCCCCTTGATTATTTAATTTGTATTTGTCTGATCTACTTTATACGCTTTCCACATTTGATCTTTATGCGGCAAGATTTGCCAGCCTTCTGATTCCTATATTACTATACTAGGAAAAAGGCCCATTGTGGAAATAAATACAACGGCCTCTAGAAAGAGGCTCTGGGCGAATGCCCCGGCCTTGGACACTCAGTGTCAATTTGCTGTGGCGACCTCAGCAGGGTATAATGACACTGAGTCCACCATTTTCTCCAGAGGAACTGATCTCTGCTACCTAAAGAACAGTTGTAATTTTGAGTGATCTCCATCCCTCACCTGGAGATTGGCAATGGTTCCCCAGAAGGGAATGGTTGGTTTGGAGGGTGGAGTCTGTGGCTTTGTCCCTGTCCGAGGTCCCACGCCTCCTGAAACCTCACCCTCTCCAGGCTCCATCCCTCACATCTCCAGGAATTTCCCACCTGAAGTTGGCAACCCTATCTCCTTCCCAGCCAATCATCAACCTACCTTTATGTCCCCCTCACTTTTCAGCTTTCCACCCCCCACACACCTGCAGCCTCTCCCATGCTCTGAAGCCCTGACTGCTACGTCACATTGGCTGTCATACGGGGGCCACCTCAGCAGCATATAAGGATACAGAGCCCACCATTTTCTCCAGGGAAACTGATCTCTGCCGTCTGGAAAGCAGTTGTAATTCTGAGTGATCTCCAGCCCTCACCTGGAGATTGGACACATTTTACCTCAGAAGAGCAAACTGTTTAGAATGTTAGAGGCAAAAGCCAATCAAGTCGCATATGCAAACGACCTCTGTGTTCCGAGGCAAAGGCCAATGAGACTGCATATGCAAATAACCTCTGTGTTCTGACTGGCTATGGGGGGGGGAGAGGAATAGCAAACTGTTTAGAATGTTGGAGGCAGGACTCAGGCAAAGCAGCCAGTGGATAGGGAGACCCTCTGAATCAGATCAGAGAGCGAACTGATTTTGGAGCGTGTAGAATAGTCTAGAGAAGTGCCACCACCATTCGGCTTTTATTTATAAGGGAGATGCCAATGATGCTGTACTTCTTTATCAGCAGTGGGTGGGTACCCAACATGCTTTAAAACTCCCCCCCCTCCTATTGTGCATAGGAATTTGTGTATATTAACTATTCTGAATTAAAAATTATGATTTTTTTCTAAGTCAGGGCATCAGCAGCTATGATCCTGGCCTTTAGATAGTTATCAGCTTGAGCAAGTCTGTGTTAACTTATTCTCCTCCTCTTCGTCTTGGAACTTCGATCTGCAACACACCATGACTAGTACGAGAACCTCACTGGCCGCTGTTCTGAGATTGTATAGAACTCAAAATGGGCAACGTATTTCCCTGGCACTCCAGGTGTTTAAGGCTAAAATACTCTCCCAAGATGGAAACAATCCAAGTGTATTTTCTTTGTGAAGCTGGGGGGCCCTGTAAGGTTTGCCAACTTCCAGGTGGTGGCTGGGGATTACAACTAATCTCAAGGCGACATAGATCAGTTCACCTGGAGAAAATGGTCACTTTGAAGGGTAGACTCTATGGCATTATACTGCACTGAAGTCCCTCCCCTCCTCAAAGCCTGTCCTCCTCAGGCTCCACCTGCAAAATCTCTAGGTATTTCCCAATTCAGAGCTGGCAGCCCTAGGCCCTGTGCTGCGTGTTCTCAACAATTCAACTCAAAGCTGGCATAAAATGACTAGCTATCTTGGCCTGGACAAACTGCTATAATGTTCAAGTTAAACTTATCTATTACAAATTCTCTGTCCCTTCTATTTGAGGGTTGCCACCTCCAGGTTGGGAAATTCCTGGAGATCTGGGGGATGAACCAAGGCAGAGTTTGGGGAGGGGGGGGAAAACTCAGCATGGATATGATACCACATAGTCTATCCTCCAAAGCTACCATATTTTCCCTAGAGGAACTGATCTCCTTAGTTTGGAGATCACTTGTAATTCTGGGAGAACTCCAGGCCCCACACTATACTTGGCCATCTCAGATTGGGTCATTTTGTGATTAACTGGAGCCATAACGTAGATGCAAAACCCACAGATTTTGGATTTTCTACTTCCCATCTACTTGCTCTGAGATTTAATAGAGCTTTTGCTCTAATAAGAAATGGCCTTGAGATACAAGAAGGGTTATCATTCATATCTGATGCTGAACTTAATTCGTTTGCCTCTTGCTTTGGTTTGTTGGGTTTTTTTTTTACCATGGATCTCTTTGGCTTGCAGCAGATACCTCTGTTTTTGTACTGTTCCATCTTATCGTTGTTATTTCTCTTTAGTTAAATGCTTTGCCAATTTAAGAACCATTCAGAAGATTCTCCAATACCCCTTGTGAACAAAGGTTTTGTCCTTGTGTCTCTCAGACTTCTTAAACTATTCTGTTTTTCTTCTCTCAGAGAACATTTTTAGTCTTTTAGTGTACTTCCCCAGCCATTGTAGACATTACCATCTGCTTAATCTTCTGTCAGGTAATGATAGAGATGGCACCCTGACAGTTGCCAAATACATAGCTGTGACCCTAAGGCTTCAAGATAGTTATTAAACCCTGGAACCCTATCCTTCTATTTCATATATTTTATAGTTTTAACTTTGTTGTTACACAAAAACAACAAGAATAAACCCACAGGATCATGTGGTCCCAGTTTAAGAGCAGTTCTCTTATGAGGATCACCCACTGCCTCCCTTCCCCTCATGAGATCAGCTTCATTGTATACTTCAGCCACCCATTTATCCAGTGATGGTTCAAGATAGATCCTTCCCATTGTTAATGAATGAAAGTGTAATTTTAAATTGAGTGGTACAAGTTATTTCATGGATCATATCAGTTGGGGCAACTAAGGATTGGGTGGGATGTTGTCCAGACAGGGAGTGAATTTGACCAGATTCTAATAAAGTTATTGTCTTCTTATAATGGGTGTCTGTGGAATGTACAGCAAGTGTGCAAATTTGTTAAAATACATGTCTTTCAGTGCTACTCTGCTTCATGCCTCTTGATTGTTTTCATGTCTGTCTGTCTGTCTGTCTATCTAGTGGGGAGCTGGAACCAGCATACAAAAGGCAGTTCTGTCTCACAAGGAAAAACCCGAGTATTCTGGAGGGGAAGAAGATTCGCTGAGGCAGTCTGCATGGTGATGGTGTTTCAGTATCTCCGTTGTTGATCTCCACTCCTTGGTATAGCAAAGTTTTGTCGTTATCCTTTTTACTGAAATACAACTGTTATAATTCAAGGCTACGACTGAAAATGTACCAAAACCGATTTTGGCCATTGTTTGAATGGCTACCCACATTTCAAGGAAACATTTCATGGGTGGCATGGTGCTACTTATCTGCAGACATGGCTGTAAGAACAATACAATCTGGCTTAAAAAAAAAGCCAGTGTCCCCAAATAATAGCACTGGTAGAAAATATAGCAGCCAGTCTGGAAATTATCCTTTTTGAACAAAGTTTCTTGGGTATCAGTGGATACAATGAATACAAGCTGATTAGAGAAACCCGTTTGTTGCTCTGAACAGAACTGTGCAATTTATTTCTCTTTAAATGTTCAAGTGTTAGCTATAGTTTGCTCCAGGAAACATAACACTTTACAGTTCACAAGCCCCTTCTGTCTTTTTTTAACATGGTTATTTTGCATATCTTGTGGCTCAATTTTAGACTGTTGCAGCCAGGAAAACTGAATTTTAAAAAAAGCAATATTATAAGAGCTGAGTACTGAAGTAGTCATGAATATGGTAATGAAAATGAATAGACTATGGGTAACACCAACAAAGGAAGGACAGAAAATTTTCTTCTGATGAAGCAAGATAACTATGTATTTTGATTTTAACACAGATAACAGTGTTTAGACTATATACACACCTTTGTAATGACAACTTCTTGTTGAAACCTCCACAACCTAATCATTCTTTCACAGATGTATAGTATCACAGGACTTAAGACCCACTTCCAAGCCTGTTGTGAATCACATAAACAGAATTTTTATACATACATGCACACTTAAACTTCTGAGGCACTACAATATTATAATCCATCTTCACCTTGCCATTGCTAAGAGGATGCTTAGACTTCCTCCCAAACATTCTTAGCTATGATAAGGGCAGTTCTCATTCCATATTCTGGAAATACAAATTTCCATGCTCTTGAATTTTACCAGATTGTATGCATTAGCCTGACAACTTTAATTGCAAGCATTCCTCTCTCTTAGGCTTCCTAGTTGATCCTGATAACAAAGCAGAATAAACGGATATTGTTGTTTAGACCAATCTCTGTTCTCCATTTCTAGAACTCCCAGCTGGTCTGAGTCCTCAAAACCATTCCAAAAATTGCCTTCCAGATAATCATTGGCTATTCTTGGATTACTTGCAGATGTCACTGTATGGCTAACAAACACAAACCAATGGCCCACTGCCCCTGGGCACAGATGTGAACAATGGGCTCAACATGCCCTTAGCCTTGAAACAGTTGATCATTTCATTTGAAAGCACTGATCTGCTTTTTGGGAAGAGGGTTGGCCAGCTAATAATGTCGGACTGCATTTCGGACATGGACTAAAGTCTACATGCAAGTTTTATCCAGCAAGAGCAGCTACATACACAGCCCTATTAGCCGCATTTTAACCCCTTTTTACAGAGTTACACCTTTCTAAGTTCATTGAAAACAGGTTTAGAGGTATGTAACTGGGGTTAGGATTGTATTGTCAGCATCTTTTTGAACCCATTGTCCCAATCCAGCAGGAAGATCTACATCAGCGAGAATCTCTTCTGCAGCTCACACTTGCTGACTCAGGATACATATCTTTACACTCAATAAAATTTTTATTTCTGTCAGTGACAGAATACTGAAGACTGGCGTTTGCAGCATTTCAGATGATTACCGCTCGCAGCTTGTGCTTCTACTGTGTTGCATTGGCCTAAGATTGACCCAAAAAGTTGATTTATGCTGAAATTACCTGTTTTAATTTAATTGATTAGGCTGTTTTTATTGTCAGTAATTACACTTAACAGATCTATGGCATTAAGTTGCTTAGATCTCAAGATATTATAGCTGATAATGGCACTTCCTGGTCATATAGACTGATCATGCTATTGATCAAAACTACTTAGCTAGCTCTATATATTAACTGGTAATTCTGTTCAGCTGAACTGCAACAGCTTTAGATAATTATATGTGATGTAAGATGGCGGATGTTTAAGAAGTGCAAGCATTCATTTTCACATTTTATTTTTGGTATATGAAAAATAACTTACAGTGTTTCATTTTAACCAGCAAAGATACGGAAAAACTGTGGTTTTTAATTGCCCTGTCACTCTGTTTAATGCAAGTGCTTGGGTTGAAACTGATTTTTAAAGTCAATTCTTTCTATATTTGTCAGAAAGCCTCTTCTCAGCTCCATTAATTGTTATCGTTGGATGAATGCTTCTTCCAAGCTACTTTGCAACTGAGCTGTGATACTTGAGGAGACAGAATTTGGGCGGTGAGGGTGATAGGTCACTTACAGCCCATTGCCTGGGATTCCTAGCATCACTGCATGTAATAGTGACATAAACCCAATTCACATGTTACTGTGAATTCACGTACACCTTGCATATCTGTGTGCACATCAGTTTGTAAGAAAGAGCCAGTGTGCATTCACTTTACAAATGAAACCAGGGATCAGTACCTGGATAAATCTGGGGTTTCAGTCACATGTTCAGCTGTGCATGCATTGAATGTAACATGTTAATTACTCAATGCATGTATAAAGAGAAATCAATTTGATCAAAAAAGTACTTGTTGCTCAATAGAAGTGGCACCATTAAACTGTGAGCCCCTTTAGAGGACTACACTGCCTCGAATCTACATTCTTCCACATAGCAAGATTGTTGATCGTGGAGTTAAAAATGAAAAGAAAGCACAAGTTTTAATGGGCCAGAGCCCACTTTGTTAGATGCATAAACCTATACGTTGCCTGTGGAAACATTCACTTAGGCTTATGAAGGCATAGTGGTGCTTGGTGTAAAATGTCACTGATGAAAAGTAGATCATTGGCCTAATTACTTGCTAAAGAAAAGGAAAAGCAAAGGGCTTTCTTTTTTCTGTTTGTATTGCACAGACATAAAAACCCTGGTGAAGAATTTTTAAACTATTTGATATCAGTCTCTGAGAATTCAGCTGAGGCTTTCAAATATGTCCCTTTGATCCTTTAGCAAGCAGCTGTATAAAGCGTTATCTTTAAAGTGTCCTTTTGTTGGAAATGAATAGTCTTTGATGGCCTGTTGAGTGACCAAGCTTCTTTCCTTGTATTCAGGATGCTTGCCTTTTTGCCAAGGTGACGAAATCATTAATATTGGCATTAAATGCTCTTGAATGGGTTGAAGATGGGGACTGGGGATACAGGCTTTTGTACAATAATGGCAGATTAGCATCATTAGTAGGGAAGCCTGGTAAAATCTGTGAGGCTCTTCCCTATACATGAAGACTGCATTGTACACTCAAAACAAAACAAAACTCTGTGGATTTTGTAAAGAGGTGTTCAACTCTGTTCCTTGGCTAACTTGCTGGTTTTCCATTTGATTATCAAAAAAAGCAAAAGCTAGGCACTTTCAAAAGGAATACGGATCTACTCAGCTATGAACCTTACTGGAGGACCTTGGCCTCATCATTCAGTCCCAGCCTCGCTACTTCACAGGGCTGTTGTGAGGACAGCATGACAAAAGAGGGAGAGAAGAACCATGCACACTGCCTTGAGTGAGAAAGGGTGAGATAAAAAAGTGACAGGTGCTTTGAACTGAATGCTTTGACTCTCTTGGTTTCCTGTTTGGGGCATTATTTAAGTGACACTGATGTCATTGGCTTTTATTTACATTATGGTCCCACATATCTGCTGTGGTTGTTTGGTAATGGGTGTTCTTTATTGAAACAGTTGTATAAATTATGTTGTCCAGGGCTTGTAATAAATTGTATAAATTCCTTGGCTATTTGGTTGTTGCATCTGATTTCATAAATATCACAGTTTTTGTATGTTGGAGCTTTTCATACAACGGCTGTAAATATTAAAGTACATGGTCTCAGAAAGCCCAGAAGGGAATGCTTGTTGGAAGGTGTTAGGATACCTCTCCAACTCTTAACTGGTAGGTCAGGAAAAGGGAACCTTTCAGAAGTTAGGGAAGTGGGCTTCCCCAAAGAAAAGGCTGTGGAGGAGACCAATGGGAACCCAAGATGGAGCTGAAGGAAGGCTACAGGAAAGAGTTCCTGGAGGAGGCTAAAAAACTCCCATTGGAAGCTTGGAGGCTGAAGCTAAAAGGGAAATTAGAAAAGAATCAGAGGACAAGTTTTACACAGGAGCTGACTAGCCTCAAGTCTGTGAGAGCTATCTTGAACCTGAAGGGGTCTCTGGATTGTTAGGGACCATAAATCTAGATCAGATATCTGGACTGCATTTATAATTTATAGGCAGTGGTGAGCAGTTTCATCTAAGGAGAGCATGGGGCAGGTTTTTTGGGACAGGGTAGAGGGCATATTGTGACAATGATGATGATGAGGCAAAAAAGTCACTAATCACAAGTTACAGTACCATGGATATTAAGCATAATTGTAACCCACAACATAGTTATGTCCAGGTACTTTGAACATAAGACCTTCACTGCACTGCTCTGGGTGTGTAGGAAGAAGTGACCAGTTGCTGTCATGCTCATTAGTTTCCATATATGGAATAAGAAGCAAATAAGAAGCATTTACATTCCTGTACTATATTGATTTACTTTGTGAGGCATTGTACCTTAGCTGTGTTTTGTAGAGATGCATTCAACGACTTCTTAATATGCAGGCAGAGTAGCTGTAAATAATAGTTTCACATGGGAACTAATCTAGGTCAGCCACTAACATCTTTGCAAATTATTGCCTTTTTTTCTTTTAACATTGTGTTTTTATTCCTGTCCTCTTTCTCCTCACTGCAAATGTTTTATGAGTAGCAGCCTAAAAATATTTAATCTTAAATGTAAGACTATTATCAGTAAAGCTTTTGACAGAGTAGACATTATTGTTACTTAATTATCCCCTGTGGGTTTAAAATGTTGCTAGAAGAACACCACAGCTTCCATCTGATAGACTTTTAACTTGTGCTTTTCTTGTCGTTTCTTTCAGAAATGTCCCCTGCATCAATTTTCTGTTCTTTCCACCATGCAACGAGGCAGCTTTTTTCTAATCAACTATAAGCCTAGTGTGACATATAATGGAATACTCTAATTGTTCAGAAGGCATGACCGGTAGGGATGTGGCAAACTCCCTTGCAAACAGGTTCAACAAGCAAGCAAACATTCCCTGTTTAACAGCTTCGATCCCATATGAGCTAAGCCTAGGATCTGTCTGGTTTGTGGCTGTCTGAGTCAGCTCTCGCACTGCTTTGCAGATGTGCAGTTGCTGTGGCAGTGGGATTTCTTGTGGTGGTGCAGTGGTGATCAATGTTCCCTCTAAGCTGTGGAGTCTTGTGAGCCAAAATTCTACCTTGTGAGCTTGTTGGCATTCAAGTTGTGAGCAAGCCACTTGGCTACTGCATACATTAGTTTGCTCTGGAGCCCTCCTTCCTGAGCTAAGGCAAAAATGTGTGAGCTGGAGGCTAAGAAACTGTGAGCCAGCTCACTCTAACTCAGCTTAGAGGGAACACTGGTGGTGATGCATGTGTTTTTGCATCTGCACAGGATGTGAAACAGGTGGTGGTGGTGGGCTAGAACTCTCCTCAGGCTGTGTGAGAATGTACATGCAAGAAACACAGCTGACTGCACTGTACTGTACTTTTTGCATATGTGAAAAGTAACCTGACAAACAGACTCAGACTGCTCATGAGCAACCAAATAATTAACAACAAAAATTGGCACCTTGTTTGCAACTGGAGAACATAAGACGAACTGAAACAACGGGTGTTCAATAATCACTAATAAATGGCAAAAGAGGAATAAAAGCCATCATGGCCCATGGTCTTGGCTATATGTAGAGTCGTGCAGTCCAGAGCAACTGTGACAATGAATGACTCACGATGCAAGTATTATCCTTACCGCAGGGTCATTTCCAGAAAACTGTGGCATAGGGCACTGAGCTGTTGTCTCCCACTCTGAATAATGATCTTTACAATAAGTGACATTGTGCAGCAACAGACTCTGAGGAGTCTGACCACGGATGAACCGTCTAAACAGAAAAAAAAAAACACCCAACAAATACATAGACCTGGGTTTGAGTCAACAATGCTTATTCAGTTTCATTATTGTCAAAAAGCATCTCCAAGAATCATGAACATTTGGCTCCAGTCACTATCAAAGCCTTAACATTTCACAAATGTACAGATGGAATTTTGAGAAATTTTATGTGTAGGTTTCAGGAGGAGACCACACAGAAGATAGACTCCCTGTCAGCCTTTTTCTATCCCACCGTCTGGATCAAATGTATCCCCTCATAATAATATGGATGACAGAAATAAAATCATGCCATATGACGCATATCGATACTCACCCCATACCATGGAGAACCAAGCCAATAAATAAAACAATGAATAAGTGATGAGTGTACCAAAACACTTCATAGAATGATCTGGTAATGGTATCTGTAGATGAGGTCATTATCAGAATTAAAGACACAGTGATCAGGAGACCGGTCATTCCAGCAGTTGTTGTTAATATTTCAGAAATTGTGTTCTAAAAAGTAAAATAAAGTGTTTTCCAGAAAGATGGAATTAATATTTATTTATTTAATTTATACCCCACCCTCCCCGCAAAAGCAGGCTCAGGGCAGCTTACACAGTTTGGTACATTGATAACGATTAAAATATTGCAGTTTCACCATAAAAACTAATGTATGAAACAAAAATTTAAAAATGAGACACACTGGGAAATTAATTTTTAAAACACTTGTATTTTCCACTTAGGTTTGTGCCAGAAATTTGTGAAATTGTTAGCTGCAATTTCTTTGCTTCTGTGAAATAAAAAGAGGAAATTATACAATCTCAGCATTGCCTGTTTTGTTACATGGGAGTGTTCCTAACGAGAAGAAATTATTACAGCAAGAGTTGATGAAGCAGAAAGCTAATGATCAAAACAGCAATGTATAATCTTGCTGTGCAGAATCTGCAAACTGATCTCTGCGTGTTTTTTCTTAGTAAATAGAAGCCCCCCAGGAGCCCCAGATTGGAACCGAGGCTGTGATGTGCATGTATGTGAAGAAAAGGACATTAAATCTCCCCCCCTCCAAAACAACACATTTCCCCAAAGTCAAATCCCACCACACAGAATTGCTGTTTGCCCTGTTGAGGTAAGCATACATACAACTATGGATAGCAGCTTCAGAAAGTTTTTAGAGGTTGGGATAATGGTGCAGGGGAAAAGGGTTAAGCAACTCTCCCCATACACTATGCATATGACCTGAATGGGGAGCTCCCATAACTGTTAATTTTCAATCAAAAACATATTGGAGACTCATTCATAGATATCCTAAATTAATCTAATTTGGCCTTTTATAGCACCAGGAATGAATTTGCTGCTAAGGAACATGTTCACAATGTCACATTGCTCTTCTTTCAGAACAAGACATGGTATATCACTTAGGATTTTCTGTTCTGCCTCTCCTACATCCCTCTTCCCCTACATTGCTTTATCTGATCCCTCCCTGTACCCATTTGTTTTCTTTTTTCTTCTGAAAGGAAATGCTTTCTTCAGAGATTTTAGGTAGGCACTGGTCTTGCTATCTCATCTTCTCTTCAGCTCCCATCTCACACATTCCTGCCTAGAGACTGCTACAAAATCTAATATATCAAAACAATCCCAGAGCACATTTTAGAGATACATAACCACTGTCAAAAGTTGAGCCACAAGATCTCCTTTTCCTTATACTTGCTCCTGTATTCCATATCACTTTTTTTAAAAAAAAATGTGGAATTTCTGGAGCAGGGATGTGTGCATGTACAGGCATGGTAAGCTAGTGCTATGGAGGGAAATGGAGAGCCCTGATGGGGACACTGTTTTGTATCAGCTGCTCTTCTCTTGACAATTTTGACATCTGCATATGACGTGTGTGGAGTGGGGGGGCATCTGATAAGAAACACCAACCCACCAATATAAATGCCAACTTACTGTGTCATGGTTCCTGAAAGGATTCAAGTAGCTTTCATTGGGTCTCTTACCAAAGCTGGACAGTTTGTTGTTTAATTCTCCGGCTTGCTTTGAATGGCTAAGGTGATATCTCTCTATGTTGACCAAATGTGCAATGATATGAATTACTATAAAGAAACAGTTGTACAAAATGAAAATTATGACATGATGATACTGGAAATCAACAGAACTTTCCTTCTCTTGAAACCCACTCCCTGCTTGCCCTTGGTTCCCCTCATTCTTGCTGTCTCTGCTTCCACCTGGTCTTCACTTCCATTATCAGCCAAGTCTTATCTTCTTTCTGCCCACCCACTCTTCCTGCCCATTCTTCCTTCTTCCATTGCATCTTTTAGCTTTGATTTTTATTGTATTGATGATGTATTTTTGTTTTGTTTTAATGGCTTTTAACACATTTTTAATGTATGTTTTCACTGCCTTGGTGGCCCTGATAAGTGCAGAAAGGCTGGATATAAATTTTGTAAATAATTAAATGGCTGCCTGTTCTTTGCTTTCTTTCCTTCTCCTATCCTTTTGCCTGCTTGCTCCACTCCTTTTTTCCCCTGGGGGGGTTTCTCTTTGCAGAAACATTTGCCTTAGCCTTGCAGATTTTTTGATCCACATTGACAGGAAACCCTATGATTGATAAAAATATATATTTGAATTGGTTTATGTGGCAATATGAAGCTAATTCATTTGTAGTATGAAACCAGTGATGATGGCCCTAATTTAATTTATTTTTTATTTTCACATATAATGTTTAGGTTTTCACTTTCCACTGTTGTTTTGGTAGGTTTGTTTTATGTATGCATCTGTGTATAGATATCTGAATCATGACATAGAAGATATGATAGAAATGCAAACTGGTCCTAGGAATAGACCAGATGGATTTTGCTACAAATCTGAAGGAACTCCTAGGGCAGGAGAAAAATCTGAAATCTAGCAATAAATAAATAAATCAGGGGATTAAAACTCCCCAAACAACAGAAACAACACTTAGAGTGTCCAGGAAAGAATGCCCACTGAACTCTCAACGGCTGCTGGAAGTTGCTAGGCAACAATATTGTCAGGCCTTCAATGCCTTGGTTTCTGTAAAGTAAAACTGTGAGAGGGATCAGAAGTGGACTGAGAGGCCAAAAAAATCCTGGAAAATGTCCCACCCACCTCTGTCCACTGTCATTTCCCCTGAAGGAGGAGGACTATCTGAGAGCAGACCCAGTGGTGACTTCTGGAAATTCACTACCCACACAATTTGGCCCATCCCAGCAGTGCCCCCTGTGAAACTGGGCCTGGTCACTCAACAGCCAGACAGTGGGAGAGATGAGGTAGGCTGGGTGTTGGATGGGAAGGACAGAAGGAAGCAAGTCCAGTTACCTTGGCCACCAGGCAACTGAGCCTGGCCTGAGGCCCAGCAATATGGCCACTGCTCCACCAGGCCTGGCCTAGCACTAGCAGCAGCCACAGGGCAACTGGCCCTGGCCCTGCTTTGACAGCCATAACACAACTCGGCTAGACTTTTCCCAGTGAGAGTCTGCCAGGGATAGGGAAGGAGGGAAATCTAAAGCCGAGGGCAGATAAAGGTAAGTTTCCTGATGGGTAGGAAGGACAAAGGGAAGCAGGAAAAGAGAAAGATACAGGGGAATACAGGGGGAAATGAGATGCACCTTGCACGTGTGAAAGGTCCCTTCGTGTATGTGTGTGTGTGCTGATTTATTGACACACAAATAATTGGAAAATGAACACTTATAGGATAAATCTCATACTATGAAACAGAAAATTTCATGGAAATAAAGAATCACATCTTCAATTCACATAAATTAAAAGTGAAATTTAAACAGCAATTGAAGGGCTGAACCTGTAGGGATAAGAATTTTAAAACCATCCAAATCACAACATGCAAGAAATCATGAAGGGATCATACTGTTTTTTGCTATATTATTCCCTTTTCCCACTGACTCCCTTTCCTAATGCAGAGATGTTCATGTGCCTAAGGGACATGGATGCATCCTCATGGCTTTTATACATTAATGTAAAGGTAAATAGAAATTTATTTGAGTGAAGCTTACTTAGAACCTGAGCCAACACCCAGAACACAAAACCTCATATTTATTCTGCTGCATAACTAGAGCTCCTTCCATTACCTCTCTCCCTTGACTTCAATGGGATACAAAGGAATGTGCACACAGAAGTGTCCCTTCTATTATTGTAAATGAGTCAGCCTTTGAAGGTGATAAATTCCATGCATGTTAGTTGTAGTCAATGTTCCCTCTAAGCTGTAGAGCCTTGCGAGCAAAAATTCTACTTTGTGAGCTGCTGGCATTAAAGTTGTGAGCAAAGCAACTGGGCTACTGCATAAATTAGTTTGCTCTGGAGCCATCCTTCCTGAGCCAAGACAAAAATGTATGAGCTGGAGGCTAAAAACCTGTGAGCTAGCTCACACTAACTCAGCTTAGGGGGAACACTGGTTGTAGTGTCCCTTGCACTCAAAATCTGCCTGTTGTACTGTGTTATGGAAGAGAAAGCTCTTGATGCCAGGTAAGGTGTTTACATCTGTTACTGCTTTCTTGCATACTAGTATTTAATTTTTATCTAGCTCATCACTAGGTTCTTTTACTGGGCGGGGGGGGGCACACACACAAATGAGCTGTAATTACAGGTTATTATCCACCTGTGCAGCAAGCAAAGAAAGAAGAAGAAAAAAGTTAACCCAGCTATGTTTGATTAATTTGTTTTCTTTCAGTGAAGCATATACAGCACTTATTGAATTAGTACACATACTAATTCATGAGAAGGGGGGGAACCCTTCTGTCTTTCTGCATGCCTATATGGGTTAATAGGTGTGTTGAAGTTTTAGCTGCCCTGTAATTATATGGGTTAATAGGTGTGTTGAAGTGTGTTGAAGTTTTAGCTGCCCTGTAATTAACTACTTTAGTATTCCCATTACAATCAATCAGTGTCTGTGTACAGCAATGTATATTGCTGAATCAAGTACTGACATCTAACTAAAACAACACAATATTGAGCAAAGTTTGTTGGGCTAGATCCAAAGATTGTGTTCTGCCAGCATAAGGCACTTTTGCCCCTGGACTGGCACTTTCCCACCACCTCCCTCCTGCTGCAGCCCACCGAGCTCCCTGAAATGTTGCTCATGAGGGAAAGGGAATCATCAGGGACAGAAAAGGGTGTGAAGTGAGAGTCTGCATTGGTAGTAGAAACTGCCACCAAGCCATAGCTGACTTAGGGTGACCCCGTAGGTTTTCCAGGCAAGAGATGAACAGAGGTGGGTTGATATTGTCTACCTCTGCATAACAACTCTGCACTTCCTTGGTCTCACATCCAAGTACTAACCTGGGCTGACCCTGCTTAGCTTCTGATGACATCAGGCTAGCCTGGGTCATCCACGTCAGGGCAAGGTCTGTGTTAAAATGGTAAAGGTTCCCTTCCTCGAAAGCCAGTCGAATCCGACTCTAGGGTTGCGGTGCTCATCTCCGTTTCAAAGCCGAAGAGCCAGCGCTGTTCGAAGACATTTCCGTGGTCATGTGGCCGGCATGACTAAACACCAAGGCGCACGGAACACTGTTACCTTCCCACCGAAGTGGTACCTATTTATCTACTTGCAATTTCTTGCTTTCGAACTGCTAGGTTGGCAAGAGCTGGAACTAGAGATGGGAAATTGTCAAAAATCACCCACCCTTTCTGATGGTAGATAACTCTCTACCCTAGGATCCAACCTGCTGCCTTTTGCATACAGTACTGACTTGGTTTCATACCCTAGATTAGGACTCAGGGTCAATGTTTGAACCTACAAACTGAAGCATGATTCAAAGCAACAGTGAAAGGGAAGGGGGATTTGAATGAGCAAAGAGAGAGATGGGGACATGGAGGAAGTCATGATCCCCTGGCCTTGGTGCTTTAATAATAGCTAGCATTGCCTCCGTACTAACCCAAGATGAAACAGATTTCATTGGTATGTTTCAAAGATTTCCTTGGTATAATCTCCAACTCCCTTCCAATATACTCTACTGTTTCATTCAGCCTCTGAAAATATTTAGTATTTCGGTATGCTGGTGCAGGGGATTTTATAAACTGAATCCTTGATTGCATTTAACTGAAATTAAGACCACAATCCTATGCATTCTTACCTTAGAGTAAGCACCAGTGAACACAATGGGATTTACTTCCAAGTAAGCGTGTATATAGTTCATAAAATTTCATCAGTGAAAATTTCCATCAGTTTTTTAAAACTGAAAGGTCTGAACTGTGATGCACCAATAGGTGGTACATGAGAAAACTAAAACAAGCAGAATTAATGGATTTATATTCCTGGAATAACTTGCTAATTATAAGACAAATGTGTGCATTCTTCAGGATTCCATTCTTAGGATGAAAGTAAACTGATAAATTGTTGGGAATGATAGATAAGTGTATCATCACAGAACATTGTGAAATGTTCCAGATTACATACTCGGCTGAGATTTCTACCAATACAAAGAACAAAAGTTCAGCTGGCTCATCCTAATGGGAATAATGCCACACTGGAGTTGTTCCATCTTCCTCACTGAGGGCAAGAATATCAACAGCTGTTATACAGAATTCTTAAACCACCCATTTTATTTATATACTAGAAATAAGGCCCGTTGTGGAAATAAATACAACGGGAGCTAGAAAGAGGCTCTGGGAGAGTGCTCTGGCTTTGGGCAAACAGTGTCAGTCTGCTTTTAAAACATGAACCTGGGACCTGCACACCACCAGAATACAGCAGGTTCCATATGCAACTGACATTCCAACTGCCTTGCGGGGGGGGGGTTTGAGGTGTGGAATGGAGTGAAGTCCAATCAGCTTCCATATGCAAAAGACCAGGTTGTCGCAGCAGTTGTGGTGTGGGCGGGACCCGGGCTTTGCCTTCTGATTGGTGGCGATATATGCTGAGGAGCAGTGCCATCAGCCATACACTAAGGGAGTGCATTTTAGAATTAGAACTTTGGCACCCACTATTCAATTATATATAAGGAGAGATTCCTTAGGCATTCAAGGAGCTGCAGTGGCTCAAGTGGTTAAGACGCTGAACTGCAGGCTGTGGAAGGTCGGTAGTTCAGCAGTTCAAGACCCGAGTGTGCCGCATGACAGAGTGAGCGCCTGTCTCTAGTTCCAGCTCCTGCCAACCTAGCAGTTTGAAAGCAAGAAATTGCAAGTAGATAAATAGGTACCACTTCGGTGGGAAGGTAACAGCGTTCCGTGCGCCTTGGTGTTTAGTCATGCTGGCCACATGACCACGGAAATGTCTTCGGACAGCGCTGGCTCTTCAGCTTTGAAACGGAGATGAGCACCGCAACTCTAGAGTCGGATTTGACTGGCTTTCGAGTAAGGGAACCTTCACTTTTTTTTTTTAGGCATTCAAACTCACACATGTGACTAGAAATCCATCATAAGGAATACTACAAATGTTTTGAGTGGAACAGCTTATTACTTCATTATCCCCCCACCCATCCTAGATATATTGTAAGTTTGAATGAAATGTTAACTTTTGAATTCCCAAGGAGTCTTTGGGAATGGTTATGGACACATCTATATTGAACATTTATTTAAGCTGATTTAAGAGAAAATATGTACTGCTGGTTTCTGACACCAGGGCTGCATTCAGATGGGCAGGTTCATCCGTTGCTGTTGCTGTTCCCTTACGGATTTAAAATACACAATCAAACAGCAACATCTGTCTGTCGTGACACAGTTGTCTGAGTCCCCCCCCCCCCCGCTTTCTTTGATAACTGAGCAAGTCCGGTCCTGTTGATCTGAGCTGATTCCAAAATGGATTTCCTACTGTCTGATCGCTCTGTTGCACACCAAAGCTGCCAGGTAGAACTGACTGGTCTCTTGTTTTCCTGCCGCCATTTTTCCCCCTAGTTAGCGAGGAGTGCATAACTGCATATACGAACCTCTCTTTCTCTCTCCTCCCCCAGGGGCTGATCAAAACTTTGTTTTCTTTTTAAAAACTATCAAAGAAAGACAGCTTTTTTCTGTCCTTTGGGGAACGGGGTAAATTGAAAAGATTAGAGGGAGGACAGCAGTGAACTCCATATCCCAGCAGTCTCAGCAAGCACTTGTGCACATGTTCAGAGGCAAACGTTTTTTAAAAATGCCCGACAGCTCCATGAACTACATATCCCAGCAGGCTGATCAGTGCTTGTGAGCATGCTCCGAGGACAAACTTTTTAAAAAAATGGCCAATGGGCTGACTCCCTGCCTGCTGTCGTCTGATCACATAAAAGCACTTTGAAGAGTGCTAAAAGGGATGAGTCTGATCTGATCATGACAAAATAACCTAGCTCAATTAGAGGCTGGGCAACAGCGGATTGAACTGCCCATGTGAATGCAGCCCTTATAGACTAGTTCATGTATACCATGGATTTATGTTAGAGATGTCACTTGACGCAGTCAAATTTATTACATGGTCTTTGGAGTTGTTCCAAAATAAAACCTTTCTGTCATAAAATCTTTTCTATGTTTTAGAATTAACAGGCAATGATTGACCATTTGATCCTTTGGTTGCTTTGTTATGTTACGTTAAAGACTGTATATTTGCCTCAGATAGAGAACTTATCATGAGCTTGTTAACTGCTGAGTGACAATGCATAACATTTTGTTGGAAATCCTCTGTAGCCCCTGATATGAATGACTGGATTATGAGAATATGGCAAAATGCTCTCATCTAAAATGATGTATCAAAACAGAAGTATTAATTAGAAGATTTAAAGGCTGATATGTTTACAGAAAGGTTAACTTTGTAACTAGTGTTTAGCATTTTTCTCCCTTTTCCTTTTCCTTGCTAGCAATAACATTAAAAATTATTTTAAAAGAAAACATCACTTTCTTATATTTCTTGACTTTTTATTTGCCAGTCCTATGGGCCATGCAACTAATTTCATATGCCTAGTTGAGATTCTGCACCTCCTCTTTCCAGAAGAAAGAGCAGTTTTCAGGTATGGGTCTTTCTTTCTATCTCCAGGAGAGGAAGTGACTAAGGACAAAATTGTCAAATGCTTTATATTAACTTCATAACTTGAATTGAAAACAAAAAAGAGGTGGAGGTATTTCCATATTATCCGAATGCTTATTTTATGGGCTTGCATTTAAAGTTCAGTGTGCTTAACTTTCTTTAGATTAAATATACCAGTTGGAGTTAATTGGATGCAAATTTATTCTGTTTTGTTAATATCTCTTTTGTTATTTACCCTGAAGCTTTGGGATGGGGCATGCTAAAAAACCTGGAAGAAACAAAAAAGCAAGCTACTCAATAGCAGTGCTCAAGGCAGCAATACTGTGCATTTTCCCAGAGGGTTTTCCTTAAGGAAAGCAATTTAGGGAGTAATGAACATTTTACAGCATGCTTATGTATTATTAGGAATGTCCAGTTGCTGCAGAATATAATGGAACACTGGAGGGAACAGGTAAGTAAACAAGAATGCAAGGTAAGCACTCTAAGCTGGTTCTACAGAAGAAGGCCGATATTGCAAACGTAAATCTGAAGAAGTGAGCAGTGACTCACAAAAGCTCACACCCTGTCACAAATTTTGTTAGTCTTTAAGATGCTACTGAACTCTTGCTTTTCTACTGCTACAGACAAACTAACACGGCTACCCATCTTGATCGATCTTCAAAACTTACTCGCATTTACAGCTATTCCATAAGCCACGGTCTTGTGAAATGTGATATTTTTGTCAAGTTGCCTTCTCAAAACTCCTCTGTAACACTTGAGAAAAATAAAAAAATGTATTTTAAAATCATGTTCATGGCTCTACTGATTCATGGACACTTTTACCCTAAGATGTGTTCTGTCGGGGGACAATTTTTCAAAAACTCAGTAATCTCCTAATCAGGGCTTTTTTGTAGAAAAAGCCCAGCAGGAACTCATTAGCATAATAGACCACACCCAACAGCAGAAACTCATTAGCATATCAGGCCACACCCCTGACAATACAGCTCATTAGCATATTAGGCCACACACCCCATGTTACCAGAAGTGTGGTCATCCAGCCACACCCACCTTTTGCTTCTTATTCTGTTTACCTTGTTTGTTGTCAAAACCCAGGGCTTTTTTGTAGCAGGAACTCCTTTACATGTTAAGCCACACACCCCTAATGTAGCCAATCCTAATGAGTTCCTGCTGTTGGGTGTGGCCTATTATGCTAATGAGTTCATGCTGGGTGTGGCCAACTCGGGAGCCAGACGGAACTCCATTCCTGTGCGTTCCTGCCCAAAGATAGCCCTGCTCCTAATCAGTGCTGATGTTACTCTGACTAGTGGGCATATCTACACTACAACTACCACAGCTTCCTCCAAGGAAAGAAGAGTTTTGAGAGGGAACTAAGAACATTTGTCTTACAGATTGCCCCTTCCCTGTGTTCTGATGTTCCTTGATTCCAAACAAAAAGGACTGAGGCTGTTTTAAAGGTGTTGTTGTTTAAATAGACTTACAAGAACCTGAAGAAGGCATCCATAGCTGTAATCCATCAGTTGACAGAACCCAATCAAGTCTCACTAAGTTTTTAGGGATTACACTTGTGAATGTGAATAAAGTTATCATGACTTTATAATGCAGGTCCTAATAAAGTTACAGTTTGATGATTTTACACTATTTTTTTGTGTGGTAAATATATTTTGTGAACATTCTGTCCTATGGTGAAAGTTAAGAACATAGAAGGAACACTGCTTCATTAGATGAAACAACTGTCTAGTCTAGCATTCCATTTCCTACAGAAGCCAAACCGTGGGGCCCCACAGAGATCTAACAGCCAGGCAAGAAGACGAAGGCCCCTGTTGCGGCCTCTAGAAACTGGTATGCAGTGACAGACTGCCTCTGAAAATGGAAGTTCCCTTTTGCCATTAAGGTTAAAAGCTAATATTGAAACACATATGTTGTGTGAAGAAATACCTTCCATTGCCTGTTATGAATTCACTGCTGATCAAATTTATTAAGCAAACCCTAGTTCTTGTATTGTGGTAGAAGCGGGGGGGGGGATCCTCTCTATCTGGTTTCTCCACTTGATGTGCGATTTGTGTGATTTTTCACATCTCCATTATGTCCCCCTTTAGACGTCTTTTTTTCTAGTTTAAAAATCCCAGATGTCTTTCTTCATAGAGGTATTAACCCTTGATAACTTTAGTTGTTCTTGGGTTTATCACACCCAGTGCTTGCATCAAAGTTATCCCTTAGCTATCTACTTTTGCCTTTTCCTGTTAGTTGACAATAATGATTGACTTTATTTCCCAGCTTTTCATGAATGAAAGACCATGGTCTGCACTGATTCTTGTCTAAAAAGTATGATTTAAAAACAGCATGATAATATTTGCAACACTCTAGTCAGCCTATGAAATATTGAGACACACACCCAACAATGACAGCCTGCTGGGCACTAAATTCTAAATCTTCATTCTTATCATTGAATGTGCATTTCTAGCACACTGATCTGAAATCAGAATGTACGCTGAACAGCATTATTGATAGTTAAAATGTAACAGTTGTAGAACAGAAGGTGGTACTCACAAAGCTCGTTCCTCTGAGGAATGAAATAAGGTTCCTACTGACTGGTAACAAGATTAGCAAGAAGTTGAAGTTGAGGCATGTGGCAGAAGCTCTTGCCCAAGCAAGTGTGGACTGTACACAGAATGGTAATATTGTTACACATTTGAAAAAATATATATCATATTTTAGTACCCTGCACACACATGCACACAAAATATCACACATCTCGATCCTAAGACTTGCAGCACCAGCAAATGTGAAGATATATCAAACAGAATACCAGTCCAGAGCCAGAAAATGGTGACAAGAATGCCTTACAGCAAGTGAGTACAGATGGGTGAGAAGTATTTCACTTAAAGACCCTTTCGCCTATTTTCCCCCAATGCACAGTATTTAAAAAAATACATACTGCACCTGGAAGTAGGATCTCAGTTTCTCTCTGATAACCCCTGAATTGAAAGGGATACAGAATACCCTACTGACACAAAAACAAACCTTATGATGTGAAAATGATTTTTGAGCAAATGCATAGTTAGGCAAATGCGTAGTTAGGCAAATTTAGTTAAATGAGTTGCAATTTGCAGTGGAGTACAAAAACAGAGTAGCAGAGTGTAATGCACCTTGGGTGGACTTTTAGCCTGACCCTATTCATGCTTCTTTATAAAAACGTTCAATGAGACATACTTCTAAATAAGTATATACCCAGGATTGCAATTGAATGGAGAGTTGCAGAAAAGTCATTCAACAACCTTCTACTTACACCCAGCATAACCCGTGTATAGAGGTAAGCATCATCATCTTCATACCAGTTGAATGTGTCAACAAACAGGTATACATTCATTCCCAGCCACAATAACTATAACAGAAAAAGGTTCAGTGACAACTTCAGTAATTTCTATCAATATTGTACTTTTACCTTCAGGACAAGAAGTTCATTACTAACATTCTGAAAAACAGATAAAGACTGGTGCCGTCCTTTTTGAAAATACAAAGATCGCTATACTTCCCAGAAACAATCTGATTGTAAAATGTGTGCATGTGTATATATGTATGTACGCTTATATCTATATCTATATAGATAGAGCTATAGAATAGATAGACAGATAGACATAGATAGAGATATAAATGAAGGTTTATGCACTGATTGTACTGAACATAACTGAAAGACATGTGGAAAACTTGAGATTTCCTACAAAATTTCAGAAAACGAATCAGTAGTTTGTTGTAGAATAGATACTTACAAATAAAATAACAGATAGACTTTCATTCAAAATCCAGTACATCATCTTGATTTTGTCTGTCCTGTACCAGCTCCAGTTCACAAATTGAGATCTCTGGATCTTCTGCTTGCTTTTTAATCAACTCTAAGGAGCAGCAGCCTAGGAAGATTCTAATTACAGACTTCCCATCAGATGGCTGTGTTGGGGGGGGTAGTTTATGATGTGAGAGACTAAGAGCCTATTTCTGTCCAATTTTTTTTTGGACTAAATGAAAGGTTGTTCTAATAAATTAATCTCATTGTCCTTTCCCCTCTCATTCATCTACACAATTTCAACAACAGCTTAAAATATTCCACATTTTTCCCCGCACAAAGACTGAAGTACGTGTATAATCTGGGCAATATCCAGGGTACTACCGTGTTTCCCCGAAAATAAGACACTGTCTTATATTTATTTTTTCTCAAGAAGACACACTAGGGCTTATACCACAAATGCATAGAAATCCTGCTAGGGCTTATTTTTGGGGTAGGTCTTATTTTCGGGGAAACAGATATTCGGGGAAGCTATAGCTTCTAACAGATTTCCATGGTTCCCGAGCCTCTTTTACTCTGCACTTCCCTGCACAATCTTTCAAAAAGTCACTCAAGGAAGTCAAGAGATTGTGATGCACAAGGATCTGCAGCTACAGTGGAAAAACCAGAGTACATGGGGCCTATGTGGAAGCCTTTGAGTACATTTATTGAGTTCTTTGAATTCAATTATTATCCAGAGCCATTTGCAAGTTTGTAGCATAGAGGGATATTTAATTAATTAATTCCCTTCCTAATATCAATGTAACATGTGTTTTGGCCACTGTGTGACACAGAGTGTTGGACCGGATGGCCCATTGACCTGATCCAACATGGCTTCTCTTATGTTCTTATGAACAGAAAAATGGTAGCAAAGAAGAAAGATTGATTCACTGTTGTTATTGACACCATCAGTAGGTTAATCTGAGAGACAACAAGCATGTGTGACCAATGTTCCCTCTAATTTCCCCCCCTACTGAGCGCAGCAGTTCACATCCTTTTTTTTTTTTGGTAAACAAATTTTTATTTTTCTCAGGAATACAACGTATACCGTTAAAACATTTCTTTCTATCAATTGTCTACCCCATTCCCAATTCCTCCCTTCCCTCCAATGGCTTCCCGCAATGCTTCCACCCCTACTCCAACTTACTTCGTATCATTAACTATATCAATTTCTTATCATTACAATCTAAAGATAACATCATTTGACTTAATATTGATCTAAACATATCAAATTTTGTTTCACATCCCAGTTCTTTTCCAAATACACTTTAAAGTCACTCCATTCTTGAAAAAACACGTCATCTTCTTTATTGTTCAGCTTCTTCGTAATTTTGTCCATCTCTGCCATGAACAGAACTTTTTGTATCCAGTCTTCAATTTCTGGCACTTTCTCTGTTTTCCAAAATTGTGCGTAAATCATTCTCGCTGTTGTGATTAAGTACCAGAATAAAGTCTTTTTAGTTGTATTGACTTCTTCCATTTTCAATCCCAAAAGCAGAATTTCCGGTGCAACATTGGTACAAGGCGATATCTTAATAGAATTTTTCCACAAATATTCCCAGGTTTCAATAGACACTTCCGTATTCATATTTATCGCCCATTTTATCATTTGCCCTTTTACGGTCTCAT